CTACACATTGGAATTCAGCGGATTGTTGGCCTTATATAAACATTATAGATCAAGATAATTTAAAAGTTGAATATAAAGGACCGGGAAGAACATCATCGGATGCAGCTTCAATTAGAACTAATAACCCTATTCCACCAGAAGTTGGATTGTATTATTTTGAAATAACCGTTTTAGATAGGGGAGAAGGTGGGTAAGTTGTTTTCATAATACATAGGTTTTAATAAACAAAAAAATGAGAAAAATAATATATTATAACATTTCAAGATGTATTGGAATTGGACTTTGTAAGCCGGAAGTTGAACTAAGTATATTACCAGGTAAGGGAGACGACCGATGAAAGAATTATGAAAGATTTGATCAAAGCGTTTGATACTTTTTAATAATTTTTAAAACAAATAAAATAGGATGGGTTGATGACACAATTGGATATCATGGAGATAATGGTCGTTTATATTGTGAACGAGGAGCAGGAGAATTTTTTGGGCCTAGTTACGATGCTGGGGATACAGTTGGTTGTGGGATTAATTTTCTTAATATGGAGATTTTTTTCACGAAAAATGGTGTACACATAGGTAAAGGACCATTTTTATATTTTGAAACGTTTTCTTATGGTAACTATATAATAATTTGTATATTTTTATGTATTTATAATGATATATGAATAACTAATAAAATTAATCGTTAATCAAAAATAGATGATTTAATTAACTACCGGATTTATGGGGACATGTATCCAATGAGTGGAATGGCAACAAAGGGAGAATGCATTATAGCTAACTTTGGCATGAAGCCTTTTATGTTTGATATTGATAATTATGCAAAGGTAAAAAATATATTATCATTTAAAATTTTTTTTTTTTTTCGTTCGTACAAAATTAATAACAAAATTATTGATAATTTGTAGGTACTATTTGCCGATGCAGAATTAAAAAGAGAACTCGAAAAAAAGACATTTAAAATTTTAGAAAGTATTAATACAGAAGAAATTTAGCCATTATCAAAACACGACCAACTATCTAAATGACATTTCAACGCACATACGGGTTTGTGCACTAAAAATTTCGGCTCATAATTTAACTTTTAGCATGTGATTTCTTGTATTAAATCAATCAAAGATTTGTATTATTAGCATTCATTTTACTAGATACTTGATTATAAAACTCAAGTTTATTATAATTTTTTGAAAAAGGATTCAGTTGGAATTAGTGATCATAAAAATTTGTCAATATTGTAAATCTTGACTTTTTAATCTGTTAAACTTGTTACTTATTTACGTAAATACATTGATCGTTCGGGCTAGCATAAAGCCATGTAATCAATTATTAAAACAAATGGTTAGAGGGTGGAATCGATGAAGAATTATTCGATCACCGATCAAAAAATTTGAGCATCAAATAAGCTTTCATTCATTGAGTTTTTAATCGGTCATCAATTTACTATTTGTTTTGATAATGATAAATTTTTTAAATAATAAAAAAACAAAAGCAAGATAAAAATTTAATATTACATTAAATTTTTAAAAACTCAATGAACATTCGAATTTTCAGTCAACCGATGATCAGAATTCTTAAACAATACTCGTAACTCAGTGATTCCAAGCTCTATAAATGATTAAATATGTTAAAATAAATTTAAACTACATAACTTTGAACGAACAATATCGAAGTGACCTTTGGAAAGAAACTTATACGAAGACTACATTGGCGCTACGCATCACTTTAAGAATTTTATTGACTATAAATTGGTGTTTATTTTTTAATTGAAAATAATTCAGGCCAAATTTTTGGTTTACTATTATATTAAGAATTTATAAATCAAAAAAAAAAAGTATTTATTTTGTCGATAAATAAAACGTATAAATTTTGTTAAAATAATAAATCGAGTTTAAATACTCACATTTTTAACTTATTAATGATGAGCCGGCAAATAATAAATCTGGGACAGGTTATGTCGATCACCGAATCGAAAAAACTTAAGTGCGGTTTTAATTTACTTTATATTCAATATTTAAGTGTACTATATATCTAAAATTTCGTGCTGAAAACTTTTGTTTAGAAGTCAAACTACGGTTATCATAGTAAAATATTGAGTTATTTACGAAAACAGAAAAATCGTAAATAACTCAAGATTTTACTATGATAACCGTAGTTTGACTTCTAAACAAAAGTTTTCAGC